GCGAGCGGCGGCGGAGGCGCCCGGGACGCCTGGCTCCGGACCCCGCTGGCCCCCAGCGAGATGATCACCGCGCAGAGCGCGCTGCTGGAGAGGGAAGCTCAGGAGTCCAGCACTACCGACGAGGAGCTCGCAGGCCGGAGACCGGCCAACGGGAGCAGCGAAAGGGGCGGCGCCGTCAGCACCCCCGATTATGGGGAGAAGAAGCTGCCACAGGCGCTGATCATCGGGGTCAAGAAAGGAGGGACCCGCGCTCTCCTGGAGGCAATCAGAGTACACCCGGACGTGAGGGCTGTGGGCGTAGAGCCGCACTTCTTCGACAGGAACTACGAGAAGGGACTGGAGTGGTACAGGTAGGACCTTGGGCTTGGAGGGATGGGGGAGACGCGTGCGGGAGCCCGCCGGGGAAGCTGCAGCTTTCCACGCCCTTGGAAATCCAGGCACCATTCTGAGCGCCCTTAGCCCCCTGCGTGGGCTCTGCGGACCCTGGAGGCGTTCCTCAGGGGGTGCGGCTGAGAGGGCTGGACTCCTGCTAACTACAGATCACATTATCTCAGGGCGAGGGGACGAGGTGTCACCCTGTGCTGTGGTACGTCAGGGTCCTTATCCTGGGAGATGCTTTCGGAATCTAAGCAGCTTCCGAGCCTGGGAATCCCCAGCCCTTGTTCCTGCGGGGTGTTTCCTAACCTGGGCTCTGCCCGGGCTCTGGGAATCAGAGCAGACGGGATCGCGAAATTGACTAAGGGGCTTTGAGATCCCCTGGAATCTCTCAAAATCACCCTCAAACGCATTCGCGTGGCTGGAATCCAACTTTAAGTATGTCCAGGTCAGAGCAAAATGAACAGGGAACAGTTAAAAAGATGAAGCTGGCGTTGGGGCTTTCTAGTAAAGACAGGATGATTCCCACCTCCATAACTTTCAGTCCCCCTGGGCTGAATGAACCACCCAGCTCATTTGTATCGGAGCCTCGATGTCTGCGCGACAGTTGGTGCCCTGAGCGTTTTCAAGCCTTGCACGGCAGTGCCCTTCCTGATCCGCACCTCCTTCGCAACAGATTGGAGCTTATGTTTTGTAAGATGTTCATCTCCCTCCTCTGCCAGTGTCTGCTGGTAGGGAGAGAAAGGGAGAAGAGAGCACCAGAAAGTTAAGTGCAGGTAAAATAAATTAATGATCCAGCTTTCTCGCCAGCCGTAGCATTTAAAACAACACCGGTACAGATGCCCGAAAGGCAAACCTCCTTTTTTTTTTTTCTTGCCCTCTTTCCTCTCATTTTTTGTCTTTCTGGAAAATAGATCTGGATGGCTGGCCCCATCTCAATTGCATTTCAGTAATTAATTGCAATTGTCAAACCGAAACACAGGCTTTGTCAGCTGAAGTGATGTTATCATCTTAACACAGCCAATAGGTAAAACAAGAATTGTTTCCTAACAGGCCTGCCTGTTGAAAGGATGTGCTTTCGAGGTTTGAATTCCAGCCTGGGAAAAGTTTTAGAAATAACTTAACTTCAGAAATATATAATAAATGTGTGTGTTGTGATTGATTTCTTCCACTTAAAAAAATATGTCTTATGCTCTAAAAGCTTGAGAGAAGTACACTTAGGCATAAACATTGCAGTACATTACACTGAAACAGCAAATGTGTCTGTTAATGTCTTGTCTGTTTCAACAGAGAGAACTAATTGCAGTATTTTAGGAGGCTTCAAACAGCCCCTTCCAATCAAAACATAAAGCAGCAAATGCCGAATTTAACTGGAAAATCAGTATTTATAACATCACAAGCCACGACTTCCAGTTTGTGATTATAATTAAAAAGGTGTTAGGATGATTAATGCAACAACAGCAAAATAAAGAGGGGGCATGATGTCTGGGAAAGTTTCAGTTTTTTAAATTGTCGGTTGGAGGGATGTTCTGGTCTTTTCTGTGGAGTAAATTTGGCCCTATGAAGGTAGCTGTGGTTTGTTTCTTTTTTCTCTTTTCTGTTCTAATTTTAATGTCATGTTATCTTATGAGAAGTGTCAAGGGCCTTTCAGTGAGGCAAAAAGATGCAGTCTTTCCACCAGGTGTTTGGGTTGCTTTGAAATAGTTCGAAATACAGAAAAGGAAGTTTATTTGGATGGTGTAAAGTTAATGAGGGGTATGTGGTGGAATGTGTACCGGGATGTCCCGTCATAGGGTCTGGGGAATTTTCTGAATGAAAGAAAAAAATAGAAGATGCTGGATTTTCCTGGGTTCTGTTATACTAATGCTGGAAAAGTATATAAACCACCTTGCTGTCATGACACGACTACTAAGATATATTCCAGTGCTGTGGTAGTGCCAGCCTTCTGCTCCCAACCAACACTTGTGGCTCAGGGTCAATATTTGGTAGCTACTCGCAGAACTGTTAGGCTGACAAGATGTGGCTAGAATGAGATTCCCTTGATCCTCACTTAAGAGGACCATGCGATATCTGTGTCCTGATCTCCTACCCTGCCACCTTGCCCAATGGTGCTGATTCGAAGTGCTGGACAAGAAACTCTTAAGAACAAGCTTCCTACCAATACATGTCTATCTAACATAGAGTCATTAGGCACCCAAACTTGACCCTTGGACCCACAGGTGCTGAGCGTGCTAGGACTGTCTTGGACAGAGCTCTATTTTTTTCATGGTCAGCAGTGCCTTGAGACACTAGTTTAGTCATTTCATTAGTCCTCTCTCTTCTGACTCCTCTTTTCCCCACCACTCCCAGGTAGGAAGAGGGGATGACATCCTCACTATACTGTAGGAAAGGAAAGAGTGGCATTGATTACAACTGGTACAGAAACCTTTCCTCTTGGTTTCCTTCTCCAAATCCGAATCTTTTAAATGGTGGCATTTGTGCTCAAATGGTATAATTTCTTCCCATACCGGGCATGCTGTCTGGGATCTATTTACCTTATTAGAGAGCCACACATTAATTAAACGTTTTGATTTTTTCTACTATTTAATTATTATTATTTTTTAAGTGCGCTTCCATAGCCTACTAATTTTGCAAGTGTTCCTGGGTTTTGTGTTTTCAGTTAAGAGGGAGAGCTGAGAAGAAATTGGGGCTGGTCTCTCTGCATAGTGAGCGGGTTTGGGGTTTAGTCAGATTCAACTAAGCAGCCCCTGCCGTCTTTTTCCTCCGTGTCACTCCGCTTATCTCTAAATCTGGGTTTTGCTTTGCTCCTATGTTGTTGATCTAATGTGATGTAAAAACACATTTGAGATTAGAACATTGCCAGATTTTCTGGGCAAGATAGACTAATGGATTAGATATCTGTGTGAAAGCTGTGGGGAAGTGGTGGATTGACACAAGCCAGTGATTAATAAATCAGTGAGATTAAACCCTCCACTTCTTCCTCCCTCTCCCTCTCTGAAAAGGGGCAAAGCCACAATGCACCTTTCCGTATGAGGCGGTACAAGCTGTCTAAGCAGAGCCCTTAAACTCTTCTAAGGGAGAGGACCTCGGGCCAGGTCAGCTGGCTGCCACTGCAGAACTCATCAAAGTGACAGAGATGACTTGAGCTGTTTGCTCCCTGGTGGCTTTACAGGCTGTACAGTAACCGTGACTACTTTGCATTGGAAACCGCTCACCTCCAGGGTGGTGGAAAGTGATTCTCCATGGTTGTAAGTTAGCTTCACTGTCAACAGTTAATACCAGCTTCCCATCGGGTAGGGGAAAGGAACTCCGGAAATTGCTCCCAAAGTCTTGCTCATGCTGCCCAGAGGAAAATGGGCAGCAGCCTTGTCTGCACAGGGTATCTTGGAGAGAGATTGGAGGGGACTGAATGGTGCTGGTATTTATGGAATACCAGCTTTGGGGTGATTGGCGCTTTAAGGATGTCCTTATCTGATTTGAGTGTCGTGATGATGCTGTGAGCTAAACTGCAGCTCCCAGAGGGGAAATGACTGGCTCACGGTCACTTGGCTGGTGAGTGCCACAGCTGTTCAGTTTCAAAGTGCTGGCTGCTTCTCTATACCACAGTGACATTCACAGAGGATTGGAAAGGTCTTATCTTTTGTTCAGTCATTCATTCATCCAACAAATATTTAATAAATACGTATGTTTGCCATGTGCTCATTGTAGGTTTTGGGGATTAAGTGGTGACTAAGACAGGTGAAGCACTTGTTCTCCTGGAATGGATATTTTACTAGGAGGGTAGAGGAGATAGCAAACAAACCAGCCAAAACATACGTAGTAAAAATTCTGGTGGGAATAAAGCCTGCATAGAAAAATAATCAGTGGTCCAGATCTCCTTTGTCTAGTATGGGGAATACTATCTAAATGTGGCTATCGGACATGCGGAGCTTTCAAATTGCATGTGCTAGAAGAGTCAAACACACAGATTGCTAAAGCTCTCATTCATGATTTGTATATTGACTGCATGTTGAAATTATAACATTCATAAGTCAAATAAAATGTATTATTAAAATTTTACCTTTTTCTACCTTTTAAATGTGACCACTAGAAAATTTAAAATTGTGACTCACATTTCTGTTGGACAGCATTTGTGTACGGGTAATGCTTTTTAAACGTCAAGCGTGCAAAGATCACATGGAAGTCTTATTAATAAGCAGACTCTGATTCAGCTAGTCTGAGAAGAAGCTCGAAATTTCAAATTCTTACCAAGCCCCCATGTACTGTTGCTTCTGATCCTGGACCTTACTTTGTGGAGTAAGGAGTCTAATTGGGGTGTGTGTGTGTGTGTGTGTACACATGTGCATGTGCACATATGTGTGTTATTTTAAATAGGATGATTAGGAGACACCTCTCCATGGGGGTGATGTAAATGAGGTAAAAGAATGAGCTCCTCTCATGTGAAGATCTAGGTGAAATTTTTAAGTAGCCAGAATAGCATGTGCAAAGGTCCTGGGGTGCAAACAAGCCTCCTGGGTTTACAAAGTGTTCTTTCATTCTCTTAAAATTACTGCGTCACTAGGCAAAGCTGGATTCAAAGCCTGACTTGGACACTTACAAGTTGGATGGTCTTGGTTGGATAATGTATTTTACTTTACCTAGCTTCAGTAGTTTATCAGAGGGTAATTCTTTCTCCGTAGGATTGTTGGGAGGAATAAGTGAAATAATAATGAATGTATTTTTTGTCTAAATGGGATAAATATCCACAAGCAGAAATCCAAATGGACCTGTATGCTGGGTTTTCCATTTTCCAAATCCTTTTGGTCTCATATGCTTCCCTTTCTATCGTAGCTATTATAATATTGACTGAAGAGTTCCTTATTTGGGATGGTTTGAGAAAAGCCCAATAATGATTGGCTTGCAGTCTACATGTGATTAACCTTTTAAACCAAAGGTCACAAACTCAGATACCTTCAGGACTCATGTGGGTCTTATA